TTCCACTATAGTATTGGACAATGTCGTAATTTTAGTATTAATTTTTGTCTAAACCAATGTAAATTAATGTTCAGGGACATGTTTAATCTCGGTTAAGTTCTGGGACAATTTCGTCATTTTAGCGTTACTTTTAGTCACATCCATTTTGGTGTTAGTCTTTTCCTTGATTAAAACTATTTATAGCATCATTATAAATATGCAAATTTATGAACACCATCAACATATTTCAAGTCTATGTAATGCTTTATATATAATTCTAGGTTTTATAGTAATATATGTCGGTCTCTATGTCTCTATTTTATAGGTCCCTCCCTAGAGTCGTAGTGCTAGCTGCGCGTATTTAGGACAACTAGGTCAGCTCCTTGCTACACTGTTACCAAGTGTTCAGTACCGTGATGTCATGCTACCTGGGACCATTCCTCTTGACGCTAAACAGACCCAGGGTGTGCTAATACAAAATTCCCATTGTCGCTATAAAGGCAAGGTTGTTTCATTTGTCGCCAAAAATCTTGTCGCTATAGTACCCCACGCTGGTTATTAATGATAACTCCCATTGTCGCTATACTACCCCCCCCCTATACTACTAATGTTCGTGTATATAATGTACTGAAAATGAACATAGTTGAAATACTTACATTACTCATTAAGTTTTGATTATGAAATTCATACTTACGATAGATCAATCAACTCATTCCTTCTAATAAATGCATGTAATGACCATTTTGTATTTGTAAGCACAAAAGGCCGAATGATTCAACCATACCCGAAAATCACAAAACCGAATCGACTCGAAGCGACCCTAGGGGACGAGAAAACATTTTTCACATGACCTATTGTATAGTCCCATAATGTATATGCGCATGAGCAACAATAAATCTTTATTTATTTGTGTGTTATTGTTACTAAAACCTATTCATCTTAATTTTGATATTGCCTTCTAAAAATACCTCCTGTGTAAAACTTACTTCAACGCCACAAAATTAAGTTACAGGAAGTTTTTGTGTTTCATCTTGTTTTACCTTAATCTTATTTTTCCCGTACTAGTCTATCAATTTATTACGACTTATAGTGATATGATGTGATTATGATTTTTAACGTAGCTTTAACAATTTTTCAGTCATATCGCTACGATGGCACTTGATAGTGATTTCTACCACTGGTGCATCATGCCGCTGACATGTAGCACGATGTCCCACTCAGTCACACTATTCTGACACCAGGCCGACTAGTCCTAACACCAACATCTTAATGCTGAGCACCAAGCGAGGCAGCTGTTAGACCCATTTTATAAGTTTTTGATATGACTCAACCGAGGATCGAACCCACCACCACCCGCATCTGAGGCGGACGCTCTAACCACTAGGCCATCGGAGCGGTACTCTTACAGTAAAGATAAGCAATCCGTATAATGGCATATGTTTAATATATTCATTGTGCTCGGGAAGTTACGCCTTGACAACATGTAATTGCTTGTGACGTATGTGGTTCGGACAACATAGCACGTGCAACACTGGTATGTACACTTTTTAATCTACGCATAAAGTTTCATATTAATAAGAATATGTTTAAGCTATAAAGATAATATCCAATATTGCCACCAATATCAACCATATTTTATAAGATATATGCATTTTACCCTTAGAATTGGTTGCAGTCAGCCACAGAATACTAAGAATCTTAATGCTTAAAACACATTCTTATGCACTAACTGATATATATATATATATATATATATATATATATATATATATATATATATATATATATATATATATATATATATATATATATATATATATATATAATTTACATGTGTGAAAATCTTCATGTTAACTTTTATGTGACATATCCATTCAATTGGAAATTGAGGAGCACGAGCAAGCACATTTATTATTCTTACGTGCTCGACACATTCTCTAACTCACAAGTACTACCATGAAACATAACGATGGCAGTGCAGACCATTGAAAATAAAATTATTATTTACGAGACTTTTATCCATTGCTATATTTTACAACACAGTGTCAAAAAGTTAAGAAACAGTTTTTTATTCAAGAAAATTCTGTTTATGTAAGACAATTACAGCAATTCTCTGCTAATGATGACAATATCTAGCTTCATTTGTTCATTTGAATCTCTTATAAATGTTTTGACTATTGCATGTTACAATTGTACATACTACAGAGTATGAATCGAAAATATCTAGAAATTATGCAATACATTATTTATTCTAGGCTTATTTTTACGGATGTACAGGGAGGCTGTAAATAACATAGGTGAAATGAGTTTCACATGCAGGCCATGCAGAGAATTGAATCAGGTATGAGAGTATGAGATAAAGCAACTCAAATATAAGAAATCAGTTATAACACGTGTAACCATGGCGGTGGCAGGTGGAGACAAAGATGTATGTATGTTTATATATATATATATATATATATATATATATATATATATAGATATCTATATATATATATATATATATATATATATATATATATATATATAAACAAGTAAAAATATAGTTAATTAAATTCTTATAAAATTCACGGCGGCTATAAGATAACAGACGAGGTAAAATATCATCAAAAAGTTAATTTATTAAATTACAAGAAACAAGTCGAAGCAGATCGAAAATGTCTGTCGGGTTATAATTTATATTTTATTGATGTTATTGTAATGTCTGGCAAAAAAATGCTGACAGCAGCTGAAAAGGATAAGCTTAATGAAAGCGCAATAATGACGCTAACATTTGATAAAGATGATCTCATAGCGTTTGCATATAGATGTTTTACTAAGACAGAATAACAAAATATTATTAATCATCCTATCTGAAACTAAACATATCAAATGCTAACTTTAATGTTGTTGATTACATTCTGCCTTCAGCTAAAAATTTAATTGATTGCGGTGGAATTTCGTAATACTTTGCAGCAGCTGTTACTGACTTAAATTCATTTCTTCTCCAATTTCCAGATTTGCTGAAATAACATATTTTATGCTTTTTGAAATTATTACCTCAACCTATACCCACGTCGGGTATTTTCTTCTGGTGTAACTGGATCTAAATTTTCTAAACGATTATCAGTTTTAATATTGTTAACATGGTCGATAACTAAATTAACTGGAATGGCGCCGTAAAATATTTTGTAAACAAAACGATGAAATTGATAATTAACTTGATTAGTTAATGTTTCTTTGACAGTTACCATGAGATACCCCATATTACTCATAAAACCAACAATAGTTTTTGTGATCATTTGCTTCGTATACGAAAAAAAATTGGGTGGCGTTGAAACTAATCTTGTAAAGATAAGTTTTCATTATTGCCATCGCTAATCGAGCCATTCATTCTATTTACTCTTTCTCCTTCTGGAATATCATCTCAGAACAAAGTATAAATAAATATTTTCTAAACATTTCAGTCATAACTGTCATCAACTTTCACTGAAATTATCATTATAGGTGGTGATGATTTTCCTACAGATTTTTTAAAATATATTTTATGCTAATAACCAAACCTAATGCTTTTCCAGCAATCAAATACCAAAGATTGAAAAGCAAAACAATATTTCAGTAACTCTTTTCGGGCTAGATGAAATAGAAAACGTCCAGCCGATATATATTTCAGAAAAAGCTTCACAATTGACTATAAATTTACTGTTTTATAAGAATCATTACGTTTGGCTTAAAAGTTTCAATGGACTAGCTGGCAGACAGCATAATAAACGAAATAAAAAAACGTTCCTCTGTCATCTCTGCTTGCACGGATGTAATGCCAATGAAATATTACAAAAGCATTTGCAGTACTGTAGTGACGTACAACGTATACCAATGTTGTCCAAAGAAAATTGTTGTTTTTTTTTTTTTGTCAATTATTATCACAAACTAAAAATTCCTTTCTTCATATACGCCGATTTTAATGTTTACTTTAGCCTGTACTTAGTGTAGAAAATAATCCTGACCAATCGAGTACAAGAAAAACTTAATATCATGTTCAGTGTGGAGTAGCGTACAAGATAGTTTGTTGTAATGATTCGAGATTATCCAAACCAATCAAATTAGATCGTGGTAATAATCCGGCTGTTTGGTTTCTCAAACCGTTAATTAGCGAAGTTAATCATATATTTTATCGTTTAAAAAGAATAACCACAATGATAAAACTGGCATCTCAACAAGATTCTGATCATGAGCAAGCGGAATTTTGTCAAATTTTTGAGAGAAAGAAAAGATCTTTGATTCGCCTGGTATTGAAAAAGTACGCCACCATTGCCATCGTATATGACAGTATCGTGGAGCAGCTCATAATCAATGTTATTTAAAACTTCATGCTACAAGTTTTATTCCAATCATTCGTCACAACATTCGAGGATATGATAGCCATATTATCGTAGAAGATTTTAGTGATCCTGACGTAAAATTTCGTTTAAAAATCGATAACGTAATCGAATGCATTCCATATAATTTTGAAAAGTATGTCAGTTACTTTAGGTAAGTTGCGTTTCATTGACAGCTTTCAGTTTATGGCAGCATCGTTAGATAAGCTAGTGAAAGGTTGTAGTCAGTTTGATAACCTACAAGATTGTTTTGGAGATAAATTTAATTTAATGGCTAAAAACGGTGTATTTCGGCACGAGTATCTCGACAATTGGAGTAAATTTGATGAAACCTCGCTACCTGACAATGACAAATTTTATTCGCAACTTAAAAATGAAAATATTATCGATGACGAGAACAAATAAGCACAAGATATCTGGAAAGAATTTGACTGTAAGACGTTTGGTGATTATCATGGTTTGTATCTATTAACTGATGTGCTTTTGTTGGCGGACGTATTCGAAAGTTTTCGAGAGGTGAGTTATAATAATTATGGACTAGATTCTTGTTGGTATCATTCTGCTCCTGGGCTGTCGTGAGATGCATTGCTAAAATTTAGTAAAGTAAGGTTAAATTAATGACTGAATTTGATATGTTCGGTTCTATCGAAAAAGGTATGCGAGGCGGTATTAGCGTGATAACAAAATATATGCTGAAACAAACAATAAATACGAGAAAGAGTATAATCCTAAGCTTCCTTCGAAGTATATAATTTATCTGGATTGTAATAATTTGTATGGTTATTTTATGGCAAAATCAATGCATTCTGGTGTATTTCATTTAATTATAGCTGATCAATTTCTATATGAAACAGAAAAACAATACCAGACGATGTTTCGTACTTCGTTGAAATTGATCTTGATTATCCAACTTGGCTACACAATTTACACAACGATTATCAATTATGGCGTAATCGATGGTAATAGGTCATAGTTTGTTACCCCAGGAACAACAAACGTTAGCATCACCAAGACGATATTATATGGTAAAAAAACTAGTACCAAATTTACTTGATAAAAAGTCATGCTTTCCATTCCAAAGTTTTAAAACAAGCAACAGTTGCTGTTCTTGTTTAAAGAAAAGTTAATAGTGTACTAAAATTAAATCATTCACTTCGGATGAAAGGTTATATTAAATTAAACACTATGAGAAGAGCTGCAGCGAAAACCGATTTTGAGAAAACTTCTTTAAACTTATGAACAATTCCGTTTTAGGATGGAAAGTACTCAAAAACGAGTAAATATCAAGTTAGTTAATGATATCAAAGAAACAAACTTGTGTCAGTCGAAGAATTTGTCAGTATAATTTTTTTAATGAAAATCTTGTCGCGATACAAAGAAAAACAAATCTGAAACTAAACAAACCGATCTACACTGAAGCTTAAGTGTTAGATTTGTCGAAGTGGCTCATGTACGAATTTCATAAAAAAATTTATTAAAAGTCAGTGGCCGTCAAATAGACTATTGTTTACTGATACCAACTCGCTTGTATATGAAATCGAATGCGAGGATGTTTATCAAGATATATACGATAATCGACATCTGTTTCATCCGTTTCCTCTTTTTGAATACCCTCGTGTCAGTAAATTTAACGACACAAATAAAAAGGCTATTAGTAAGTTAAAAATGAAATAAACTCGATCATCATCAAATACTTTATCTGAATGCGCAGTAAAATGTACTCAGTTTTGTTAGACGTTAATAAAATAAAAAAATGTCAAAAGGTATGCCTCGTGACATTGTGAAAATGTTTATGAAATTTGATGATTACAAGTAGGCGCTTGATGGCGGCATTAGATTTTATAACAACAATAGCTATTCAAGCGAAACGTCATAAAATCGAAATAAATGCCGTCATCAAACGCGGTTTAAGTAATTTTGATGACAAATGTAACTGCGAAAATGGGATAGATACATTTGCACTTGGGTATTGTTTTGATGATAGATCTATACTCGATGTTATATTCGATGAGTAAGGTATGTAATTTTATCTAAACT